ACTTTGAATTGAGAGGTCATTGAAATGAGAGACTACAAAGATATTACAATTTCAAGAAAGGCTGAGGCTATTCTGTGGTTTACTCAAAACTCTTTTCTGTATAATGATATTGTAACTCAATCTGACTTCTGTCTGGAAGATAGTACCTGCCACACCATCCCTGAAATGATTAAAGTTCTTCAAACCATACTGATTTGCTAACAATTTGCTTATTAGTCTTCCATGTTCCACATTAGATTTGAAAGAGGAGATGTTCAGATTTGATGATTTAAAGTATTCAGTTTCAATGTGATGAGATTCTAGGTCAGTCAACAGGAACCAGAACCATTTGTTCATGAAATCACTTCTTCCCAAATTCAACCAAGAGGGAGCCAACAGGGAAGATCATTCTATAGAAATGTGATTCATGTCAGTTGTTAAAGGTACACCTCATCTACCTGAGGTATTTTCAGGTAAGATCTGAACACTTTGGTCTCAGGAGATGTACTGCCATTCCTTCTTTGCCTGTGAGCCAGGTGGGAAGTTTCCCAAGACGCAGAGTTTCTTGAAAAGCCTTCGCAGAGCTCCTTTAACTTCCTGGTTCCGGAGGCTGTAGATTAATGGGTTTAGTGTAGGGGTAACTACTGTGTAGAAGATGGCGACCTGGCGGTCCTGGTCCAAGTCGTAGCTGGAGGATGGTCGGAGGTACATGCGGATCACAGAGCCATACAGGAGCAGCACAACCAGGATGTGAGAGCTACAGGTGGACAGAGCTTTGCGCAGGGCTGAAACTGAGTGCATGCGGGCTATGGCAATGCCAATGCGGGCATAGGAACCCAGAATGAAGAAGAAGGGGCTGACCACCACAGCTACGCCCTCAGTGAAAATTAGCATTTCATTAACCACTGGTCGGGTACAGGAGAGCTGCAGCAGGGGAGTGATGTCACAAAAGAAATGGGTGACCTGGTTGCCACAGAAGGTTAAGCGGGTGACCAACACACTATAAAGGAGGCTATTGAGGCTGACGACCATCCATGAGGTCAATGTTATGCGCAAACAGAGGCGATGGCTGACAATGGCAGAGTATCTTAAGGGGTCACAGATGGCAATGTAGCGGTCATATGCCATGGCAGCCAGCAAGTGGCCTTCCATGCTGCCCACAGCCATAAAGAAGAACAGTTGGACCATGCAGCAATTATAGGAGATGGTTCGATTCACAGACAGTGTGTGCACCAGCATTTGAGGAACCGTGATGGTTGTCAGAAATATGTCAATAAAGGAAAGCTGGCTGAGCAGGAAATACATGGGGGTCTGAAGCTTGGAGTCCAAGTGGGCAACAATTACTAATAGGGCATTGCCCATAACTGCAACCAAGTACATGGTAAGGACAATACCAAAAATAACTGGCTGCATCTCCAGCCAGCTGGACAAGCCCAATAAGACAAATTCAGTCACATCTGTCCTGTTTCTAGTGCCATATGACATGGTCTACATTGACTGCAGAGAGGGAGGAACAGAGGTGAAAGGGAAGAGAAAGATGTCAAGGCTCAACCAGACCTTAGAGTCTCTGCATCTTAGATGGGCCACTGGAGTGAGGATCTGGTCCTAACTTTACATGCTGAGAAGTTCAATTTTGTTATTTTGTAATATAGTTCTTTCCTGCATTTCTGTCATTTCGAGATCTCTATACACTTTCCCTGTGTTGTTCCATTAAGTCAACTAAACTGACCTGGGATAAGAGTAGAAATGATTAATATAATCATTGATTTTATTAATGATTCATTTTCAGTGAATAATCTGGCAATGGATGGGATTTTCATCTTTTTATCTCAACTTTTCCCTATAGGCAGATCAACAGGGCACACCAAAAAGGTAATTTTGAGGCTGCTGTACCAATAAAGATATTTGATGAAATACCGTATTTCTACATGAATGTGAAAAAATAATTTTAAAATAGTAGATTATACATATAAGAGAACATGTGAGAAAAAGCACAGGTTCTTACCCTAAGTTTTCCTCCCTCCATGTTTAGTTTTAACTCTTCTGGTGGTTTATACCTCTGTGCCTCTAAACAATAAGCATCTACGTTCATGTTTTATCAATTTAAGGTATTTTTGGCTTGCCACTGTGAAAGTTTTTTATTAATTTCATTATCCCCAGTCTTCTCTCCCTCTTTCCCCAATTATTGACAACTTCATTCTTCAGTTGGTTGCTTTTCTGCTTTCGAATGGTGTGCTTAAATCTATATTTCTTGTTCCATCAACTTTAGACTCCACCTCTCATCCCCTCCCCACCCTGTACCCTGCCTGAACTTTGGAAAGCTTTACATTCACCTATACACTGCACACCATTATACCTTTGGGACCTACATTTTCTAGGATAAATATATAGCACTTTTATAACAAGATAAAAATTTAATGTGATAAGCAAGTAGATAAAAGAAAAAAAGTATTAAGTGGCAATTTCCTTATTTATACTCTGTCTAAGGGCAAAGTATACACTGCACACCATTATACCTTTGGGACCTACATTTTCTAGGATAAATATATAGCACTTTTATAATAAGATAAAAATTTAATGTGATAAGCAAGTCGATAAAAGAAAAAAAGTATTAAGTGGCAATTTCCTTATTTATACTCTGTCTAAGGGCAAAGTCTAAGTGCTAGGTTTTTATTTTGGTTCATTTCTTTAAGGTTTGATTATTTCTACCTTTTCCAGAAGAGAAAGACACAGATTATATCAAATTCAAAAAGCGTACCAATTACTAAAACACTCAGTATTGAGGGATGGTAGAACAGCAAATTACTCCCAATAAAGAATCAAAATTCTATTTTAAGGATATCTAACTTGACGCTCTCTTTATTGTAAAGATCATACCTGGAACCGAAGCTCAAATGATAAAACTTACGTTTTCCAGTGTCTGTTATTTTGTCTCAGTTTCTTCCAGTATCCTCCGTGTCAGTGGATGTAGCTCAGACTGTATGGTCTTGTCAACCTATTACTCATTCAAGGCAGAGCCACACACAGATGTTAGCGTGGATGTGTAGATAAAGGTGTAAGAGAAGAATGGGTCAGAAGGAAGAGAGAATAGGTCCCTTCATAGGAAAAGGGTGAGAGACAATGGTCTCCAAGAAGGAAAAAGTGGCAAAAACTAGATTTATCCATTATATGGATAAGAACATAGTAACGTAGAGAGTCCACTTTCTTCCAAGCAAAGCAAAACTATATTTTTAAACTAGTTACATGCAATAAGAGTAATAAGCAGTGGTCGTTCTCTTGTCAAGGATTCATTTCTATACCTTCCTACTTTCAATATCTCACCATTGCTTCCACCGGCGCCAGAGCTCTGTGGATCCTAGTCAGGCAGCTTTAAGGAATCCAGGACGGTGAGGCTAGGGAAAGCCAGAGAGAGGAGCGGTTCTTTTAAGAAAAATATGAAGATACTCACATAGGCAGCACTTGAACACCTCAAGACAGTAAAATAAACTGAAATCTGGAAGGAGAACAGAAATGAAAGGAAGACTCCCTGGAAAGGGACAGATAAGCATCTCGGTTTTCTCAGTCCCCACCTGGTGCTTCAGGGACATCTAGCGCCGTGAAGGAGGGAGAAACCTAGAGCCTCAAGCACCAACAACCCTGCTTATTCTTGGCTTTCCCATTTGATGAAAGCACCAAGGGACATATTATGGGTCTTTGCTGTTTTATCGATATCTAAATGTTCAGATAGGATCTATTTAATGTCTTCTTGATCTAAATCCTATTTCTAGTGTGTTCCCCCCTTTGGTTAATGAATCACAAAGGTCGAATCTGAGATGTATAAATAAGAACCTCCTTTTTATTCTCTCAAAAATAGATCCTCCAAACTCTTACAAAATAAATTAGGTACTCTGCCACATATTTCTTGCACCTGGGAACCATGAAATGTCTCTCCATACCCTCCCTGATCACATGACTATAGCCTATCTCAGCCTTCATATTTTTACCCCAAAAAATAACTTTCCATGTTTTAATTAACAATCCTTCCACCCTATTGCTTCACCTGACTATATTTGTACCTCATTCTAGTCTCCTTGGTCTTCTTGGTATAAACATCATGCTATTTTCTACAAGAAGGTTATGATTTATGATTTTCTGTTTCCTGTCCATTTACTATTAGGGCAGAGTGTAACTTTAGTCTCACCTTTTCTCTGTATCTAACATCATGTACCCAAGTTAGAAAGTCTGGGCTGAGGTGCAGTCCTTCTTGCCCACACCCTCACGAAATTATCCCCTTTCTGTCATTTTCCATGAAAGCCTTTCTCTAGGGAAGCTCATCACAATGAAGCAGTCTCACTTGCATGCACTCACTCTGGGACTCTACTAACCCCAGGAGGCTCCAATGTGTTCAGAAGAAACACTAATTAGAATGGGACTGCACACTCAGGAGCCTGCTCATTCTCCTTCCTTATACCTAGATCTCACTGAGGCAAAGACCATAAAACTTTCAAAAAAAATTCTGACTGCAGAGAAGGTCTACACTTTGGGGGACACCATAGCCTTGTACGATGTCAACAGTCAGACAAGGAGAAACTCCAAGGAGAGACTGATTCCCATTTTATCATTGCAAGAAGCTATCTTTTCTAACCCATCCTTTCTGTAATTATTGAGTGTTTGCTATTAATACAAACATTTTAATTCAGCTGAATTAGGTGCATGGCATGAGGCTTTCATGACATTGGGATGACTCTGATCACTTTTATCATGTTTCCATCCTGCTCACCAGTGGTTTTTTTTTTTTTTTTTTTCCCATTTCTACCCTCACCCAATTCCATCCTTTTGCTGGATTTAATATAGTCATTTTGTTTATCTATTTTAGAACTATCATGCTCAGAATACCTGATTTAAAGTCTTTGCAAAATAAAAGAAACAGCAGGAGGTATAGCACAATATTGAACAATCTGAGATTATATGCAAACGTAGAGATTAGTGGTCACATTTTTAAGTATAATGATAATGCAAAAAGTTGTTCTCATAAAGATAGAGAATAGAATAGTGGTTACCAGAGGTCGAATAAAAGCAATTACTCAGAAAGAACTCTATTTAGTGCTCAACATCACTAATCATAATAATGCAAATTAAAACCACAATGAGATACTGCCTCATGACCGTTAGAATGGCTTTTATCAGAAAGACAAAAGCTAACAAGTGTTAAAGAGGGTGTGAAGAAAGGGAACTCTGTTGGTGGAAATAAAAATTAGTACAGCCATTGTGGAAAACAGTATGGGGGTTCCTCAGAACATTAAAAACAGAACTACTATATGATCCAGCAAACCCACTACTGGGTATATATTCAAAGGAAATAAAATCACATGTCAAACAGCTATCTGCAATCCAATGTTTGTTAACACATTGTTCACAATACCCAAGATATGGAATCAAACTAAATGACCATCAATGAATAAACGGGTAAAGAAAATGTGGAATATATGCACAATGGAATACTATTCAGACTTAAAAAAAAAAAAAGGAAGTCCCGTCACTTGTGACATCATGGAGGAATCTGGAGGACATAATGCTAAATAAAATAAGCCAGGTACAGAAAGACAAATGTTGCATGATCTCACTTATATTTGGAATCCAAAAAAAAAGCTGAACTCATAGAAGTAGAAAGTAGATTGGTGGTTACCAGGGACTGAACTGGAGAGGAGTAGGGAGATGTTAGTCAAAGGATACAAATTGTCAGTTAGACAAGAGGAATAAATTCAAGACATTTATTGTACAATATGGTGACTACAGTCAATAACAATGTACTGTATTATTGAAAATTGCTAAGACGGTAGATTTTAAGTGTTCTCAGCACACACAAAAAATGAGTATGTGAGTTAATGCATGTGCTAATTAGCTCAATTTAGTCATTTCACAGTGTGTACAGATTTCAAGACATCCTTTTGTACTTAATAAAGATATTCAATTTTCACTTGTCCATTAAAAATACATTTTAAAAGTAAAGAAAGAAAAAAGCTTTAGTTCCATTAAAATGTGAATAAGAATAACTTGATGGGGAGATGAATCAGGTTGGGATGAAGGACATATGGTTTAGACTGGAAAGGCTTTGAATGCTGACAGAGCCCCAGGGAGCAAAAGGGACCCTTGAGTGATGTCAGCAAAAAATGGCAGACTGGGAAACTTCAGGGACAGTCCCTACCTAGAAACACCAAAACACTTGTCAAACACTATCCGAATCAACCTTGCTGGAACTCCAAAACAGGTAAAAGTTTGCATCACAGGAACACATAGCCAGGAGAAAAGCCACTGAAACAGCCTAGGGGACCTGTGTGACATCTTACATTACCCAGCCCAACCCTCCACCCTGGTGCAGCATTGGTTCTGAAGGCAGCAGCCTACATTCCTGTTGCAGGTTACTGATTCTGGAGGGAGCAGAATGAAATTTGTTTCCAATGAATTGTGTTTATTTTGTCTTTTTTTTTTTTTTTTTCATGACCGGC